ATCTATTTCTATGGATTATTTTGCTTAATTTACCAAATAATGTGGAATTATGGTAAACACTGCTGCCTGGCAGGATATGCTAATGCTTTGAAACCACATTGTGAGTCCCTGTGTGGAAGTTCCCCATCCTGAGAAAGCCCCCTTGGCTGGCTAACTACAGCTGTTTAGGATGTAGGTGATGGCTGGAATCAGGGTGGTCTCAGAAGAACTAATTTAGCCAGCAGTGGGAATATGATCGTTTCCTTTATGCCTGCATTATCCTTTTCCCTCCATTATCATCATTAAATGATCTAAAAAAATACTGACACAAGGAGGTGTCCCTTTGGTCACTCACTGTTAAATACTTTCTCTGCCTCTGACCTGAGGGGAACAAATGAAAATGGCCCTTCAACTAATGCCCTGTACTGCAAAGGGGGACCTGCTGGTTGTACATTCTGGTCAATGTAATTGTATTTAAAACCTTAGTTTAGAAATGGATGAACCTCATAAGGCAGATGGTTTGAGAAGGCCTAGATAGATATATTGTAGAATCCTTTTAGAAACCTTTTGTCTTCGAGGCTGAGTTTGTGGAAAGCGAAGCCTTCAAGGGCGGTGGCAATGGTCTGCGAAAAGGATGAAATGAAGGGAGTTGATGCAGTAACGGAGCAGCCACAGAACCCTCCCCCAATCCTGAAACAGCCTTGTCCTGGCCTGTGCAGCCATGATGGGGCTTTATTCTTCATTCCACTCCAAAGAAACAAGGAGCAGAGTGTGCAGGGCTGTGCATTCTTCTGGCTAGGTTATTCCCGGTAGTCACACCTTCCTCAAAGTGAACTGTACCTCATCTTTTTAGTGCCTTGATATTCAGTTGCTGAGTTAGAATAATTTTGCTCAGAGCCTCCATAACAGAAAACCAGCCTCGTGGGAAAGCAGACCTTCCGTGCTAAGCCTTGCGGGAAAAGTGAATTTAATGACATTTCTAACTAGAATTTTACAAAGACTTTTAAATGTAGCCTTGTTACACACCTATAACATATCTGACAGTTTTATTAAAAAAATTTTTTTTAATCTTTCTTTTAACTATACATTATTTACATTTTTAAAGACCTGCTAGGTCTCATTTGGGTAAGAGCTCCAGGTAATTAAACTTCCAGGGATAAACGATGAGGCTTTCCAAAAAGTGCTTCTCGTCTAAGTGCTAAGACCTGTTTTTACAAACAAATTGCTATTATAAACTTCTCAATATAAAATTACAATACTTCTTAAAAATTTTTCCTATTTTCTTATTTGCATCCAGCATATTAAAAAGAGATTATGCTTTCTAACTAGAGATGGGACTAAAAAAAGAATGAAATGAATGTGTCCTCGTACTCCATTTGTCTAGAAACACGGTGTCTTTTCTGTGTTGGGGTGAGCCACAAACAGGGCTGTCTCTACAGTGTGGTTCAAGAGCCCACTGAAGGCCCCCCTTCTGTTTGAGGGCTCACTGCAGGCTTTAGGTGGAGCTGTAAGGCATGAGAAAGATGGCCTGCGACTTACGCATTTGAGAATAATTTAGCACGTTTAAGAAATTTTCCTTAAAAAAGGCCATGTTTGGAATGGCTTCCAGAGATTGTTCAAGAACAAAAGTATTAAAGTTCCTGCATCACATTTAGGAGCACAGTACACTGGGGGAGTATTTTCAAAAGCTCAAATAAAAGGCTGTTTTTCCATTAAGTTAAATAGTAAATAAGTGAGTATTTTGTTGCCTATAGGTGCGTGCTCAGAGTTTTCAAAAGTCACACCCTGCCAAAATGAACAGCCAAATGGGCATTCTTGGCCCCTGCCCTATAAATAAACATTCTAATTCTACAACTTGCTCCCAGACACTTAAGAAGCTATTCTAAAATGAAAAGCCTACAAACTGGTTAGAAATCTGCAAACCAGAAATGCAATACCGTTGTCCTTATTAAACTAAAACATTTGTATTAGGTTTTTGGAATGATGACTAAGAAGAACTGACACCCATTTTCACATTTAAGAAATAATTATTGATAATGTTGAAGAAATAAAATCTTCAATAGGAAGGTGTGTGGCCTCTCACAAAGGAATACAGTAGTTCTCAGTTTCAACCAATGAATGTTTCCTTTTTCAATTTGTCTAGGCTTGTTCGCTTTTTGTCAGGTAATATGTGACAGAGAATATTGGCAATCTTTCAAAAAATGATTCAAAAGGTGACTTACAATTGGCTGCTGATATCCCCTAAGGCCTTTTTTGCCTTATGCCCTCATTTAATAGAAACAAATTAAGGACATTAAGCCAGGGGTAAGCGTACCACTGGGCGTTGGTGCTCAGATCAAAAGCTATAGGATGTGTTAGTCGGCCGAACAGACTGCCTCACTTGCCTATTTGAGCACTAACACCATGGGAGTTTGCATGCTTTTCTAGGGACAAAATTTAAAACTCAGGTGAAATTGTACAAAGTTGAACTTGCTGTTCCATTCGGGCTGATTGAACCTAATCCTTGTTTTCCCCTTCTCAAACCTTCTTCCTATCTTTTTTACATCTGATATTTTTCTTTATAATTTCCTCCAGATTTTTTTCTAAAACATATTTCATAGGTTACAACACAAAGACCTTAAAAGAGGAAAAAGCCTAAAGAACATTGATCTTTGGAGATGTAAGCATTTAAGCTTGCATTTTTTAAAACTTAATTATGCTTTCTATGAAATTCAGACACTTCCTGACATCACAGTTTAGGCACTTTGGATGAACTTACTTCATAATGATATGAATACTATAAATCTTCCAAAAGTAATTGCTATTAATGTTTTTGTTAACTAGTAGTGATGGTAAAATTTTCAACTCTTTCTATGTACATATGCCTGCTATCCCTTCACCTGGATTGTATATTGTTTTCTAGTTATTTTTAACCATAAAATTCACAAAGACCTAAGGGCAGACAGGAAAAAAACCCGAAATTTATTGTAGGTAAGTAGCGTGTTAATTGAAATAAGATTCCATGCATTGCTCTTAAGCTAATAGCATGGAAAAAAGAACCAAGCTTAGTGGCTTGGGACATTCTGCTTATGGTCGAGATCAGAGTTGGGTCCATGGCTCCAGGGCCTTTCTGGTGCTCCTACCCCTGTTCCACCAGCAGACAAAAAGGTAACCCTTGTAATAATGTGGACAGATCCCTGCCCAATGTCTAACATGCAGTAGGTGCTCTATGATCACTAAAGGGATTACACGAATGAACGAATGAAAATCAACTCAAAGGACACTGACAGTGAAGTCAGCCGTGGCAGACTTTAACATATGAAGAAAAATCCAAGATGATAAAAATTATTTAAGTAGCTGGTAACATTTTGTAAAAGATTTTATCATGTAAATTCAAAGATAGCCAGTCAATTAAAAGGATATATATATATGTATATATATATATGTATATGTGTATATATATATGTATATGTATATGTGTATATATGTATATATGAATATATACACATACATTCTCCAATTAGTGTTTGTGCTTGGCCAGACATCATAACCATGCAAACTAGTAAACACTCACAATTGAGCACATAACCATCCCTATATTCTAATGCCAGTTTGAAAACTTAATTCTGTTGCCTTGGACCAACAGTATAACCTTAAAATGAAGATAACTCCTTCTGTAACTGTCTTCTATTGCTTTGTGCAGTCTAACTAAGTTGTGAAGAAATTTGAAGATAAAAATCCCTGTTATTATTGCTGTTAGTCCTCAGATTCAGCACCAAATCAGAAAAAATTCTAAAAATCACCTCTATCTCCAAATTTTGCATTCTTAGAAGTGATTCCCCTGAAGTAGCATGATGAATTAGGCTAACTGGTTTTTGACTGCTAGCGCTTACAGGCAGGATTTTATGAATGGACACGTGTGAAAGCCACTCTGGCCAGCTCTGAAGCCCCATACTTTCTTCCTGGGCTATTTATAGAAAGTGTATAGCCAGTGGAAAAGATCACATTTATTTTTACAAGCCAGTCATGACATGACCAAAGAACTCATTTTCTCCCTCTGGGAAGGTCATCTTCTGCAGCTGAGGGTGCAGTTGCAAGGAGGCCAGGGAAGAAAGCAATCCCCTTTAGTCAACTAAATTAGCATGCGTCCATCCCAGAGACCAAACCACAGAGTGACAGGCCTCCCAGGCCAACACCCTCATTTCCCAGGCATGCCGCTACAATGCTGCTCCTTAAGATGTCATCTCGATTATGACTAGCAGGTAAAAATAAAATGCATCACATAATATGGTGCAAAATTCTACTGCCAAATAGGTTGTACAGAGATAATGGAGTACATTCTTATTTGTCATTTGTCCTACATTTTAAACAGCTGAACACAATAAAGTAAAACTGAATTTTAAAAGATGTGGCAAAATGGAGAGTGTGAAAAAATATTTTTAAAGCCATTTTATTCTGATGGCCATATTATCCCTGAAATACGGAATATACCTGGATAGTTCCATGCAAATGTTGAGACTTAGTAAATATTTGCTGATTCATCTCATTCATCTTGACAGAAGTCCAATATAATTTAGCAAATAACATACATAGTTCCACAAACATCCCTGGTCTTGTGTAGTGTGTATGGTACCTATTTACAAACATGTTGTAAAGCAAAATCACTGTTTTCAACTAGAATATCCTGTTATCAGTGTCATATGTGGTATATAAAAACCAAGAAAGGGAAAGTGGAGGAAGGAAAGGTAAAGGAGAGGAAAGCATGTTCTCATTCTCTCTGGCACATACTTACTGGGTGCTGAAACCTTTGAGGGGAAAACTGTGCCATCTCACTGGGCTCATGCATCATAATCACTTGAAAATGATATGGGTATAATTTTACCCTTAAGTGGCCTGCACTTAAGGACAAAGACATAAGGCAAGAAGAGAATTCTGTTTGCAGACCCAGATCTCCAACAAAAGTTTTAAATGACAAATGTGGGGTTTATTTCTTGTTCTCAAACTCATCAGTCCTTCTTAGAAGTCTGTCTCTTGAAAGTTCCTTCTGAAAGAGAGGCCCTCATTTTATAAGGAAGCTACAGAATACTCATCAACCTGTTTTACTAGCTTCCAAACCAACACACTTTGGGGCTCTAGAGGAGACCATGATGACATGCAAATAAGTTTGCATGTAGAAATATCCTGATTTCCACAATTGCCCTTGAATGCATGTGCTGACTTAAGTTACAGGTGAGAAATAACACCCATGGTAGGCACAAATTCTCAGCCCCTGTAACCTAATAGGAATCTCCTTGCACTTTGCAAAAAGTGAGACACTGACACCCATCAGCGAACGTGCAAGTGTATTTACAATCCCACTAAGAAGTTCTAAATTAAATATAGACACATATAAACTTTTCTGCAAATTCACACACAAGGATCCCGGTTCCTCCAGGGAACTGTGCCGAGCCTCTCTGTTTATAAATATACTATCAAATAAAAGCATCAACAAAAACAGCAATCTTTTTAGGAACATCAGCCTACCAGTGCTGAGGTAAGTGCTCATCTTCCTTATGTGCTTTATCTAAATTATACCATGAAGTCAAAACTTCCCATTCAATGACTTATTTGGCTATTAACTGAAAGGACTTACCAGGAAGTGTGATAAGTATTTAAATAAGCTGCCTCAGTAGTTTGTGTTAGTCTAGAGTTGCCATCTCAAGTACAGGTTAGAGTTTATAAGAAATGTCTTCAATAACACCGGCTAATGGGGTTGTCAGAAAGGATCCCAGGAGTGTGTTCATTCATTCTCCCATGATTTAGGATGACCGTTGTTCATTGCCATAGTCTGGATCCAAATGAGACTTCAGTGCTTAACTAGGCAAAGGTAATCATATTGAACTCAAAATTTTCAGTTACAATTCAAGTAATATGTTTCTGACTTATAATATAACTGCCTCATTTATTCCTGAGTATTACATTTTTAATTTTAAGCAAGGACAGATGGCATCAGTCTAGAACAGTGTCCTCTCAATTTCCCTGACAGGGGCATTAGGGACCACAGGCATATTAGTGGGTTGGCCCCTTTCTGGCAGAGAAGCCAACACTCTGCAGGTCCCTGTGAGCCACTTTCGGTGCCACCAAAAACTTGCAATCCACACCATCTTCCTCCCCTCCTGGGTGGAATGTTAAACCTTGATTTGCAGGAAAGTAAGAAAAGCTTACTCCAATTGCTCTCCCCTATGTTTGAGGACCAGTCACTTGGGCATTGCTTCAAAGGCACATTTATTCCAGTGGCAATTTAAATAAGTAGAGAAGTAAAGAATAAGATTCAAAACAAAACAAACCAAAAAATAGGGTGGGTTTTGTGGAATACATTAAAGTAAATAGGAATCTGGGATCTATACAAATCACCGAGCTCCTCACCAATAGTTTAACCAGAGTCCCTAAAGTGGAATAATTCACAGTTGTATCATGACATACATAGGCCTCCAGAGAACACTGTTTAAAAAAGTAATTGAGAACTCTCGAGCAGCTTGCCCTGATGATGTCCAGTTCAAGTGTATGCAGTGCAGAAAGGCTGCAAAATTCAAAACTACAAGACAAAGAAAATTCAGTGCATAGCACAGGCTTGATAAATTACGAAAAATCATTGTATATATTACTATTTAAATAACATCTGAGAAACATTTCGAAATAATTAATTTGTGTTCACATTCCATGCATTTTCCAGCAGGGTAAGCCCTGGGCTTATGTCTTTGTGCCCATTTCCTACAAAGCTCCATTCTTTTGACAAATCCAAGCATTCCTCAGACTGAAATGGAAGTACCCAGGGATTTTGTCTACTCACCCTCTTTACTGCTTAGCTGACCTCGCAAGGCCTACTTGTTACTACCACTGGCACAGAAGACGATCGGAAAATCGAACTGTTTGGGGTTTTATTTGGGATTTTATTCTCTGCCTCCGAAAAATCCCTGGACATCACAGACACCAGCTGAATTTTGTCCAAGGGCAAAACCCAGCGGCCCGCTCCCTCCTGCGTGACCCACCTCCCTCTTCCAAAGCCCCAAGTGCACTGAGACCCCCTTGTCGCGTTTGACTTTTTTCCCTGTGGTTCTGCAGCACCCTCCTTGAGCAAAGGAAACACAACAAAACTTGAAAACAAACCAACAACAGCAACAATAGAAACTCCAAACAAACAGGTGGGCGAACCAGCAGCCTCCTCCAAGGCGAAGGCTCACTTTTTAGTGCAGAATTCGGAGCTGTTTAGGAACTTCCGGATGACCAGCCCCAGACAGACAACCAGCAACAGCATGTAGCCCACGGTGCCCGAAAAGGTGGGAGCAGCAGGCGGCGCCTTAAGGAATTGGCGCAGGCCCTCCTCCACGTAGTACACCTGGTCATAGATGCTGAGGAAAGTGAAGATATGGAACAGCTGGTGGCTGTGGCCGATAATGTCGAACAAGCCAGGCTGGATGCGCTCGGGGATCTTGCTCACATTGAAGAAAGCGGCCACCACCAGCCAGAAGTAGCGGCGGTAGAAGTGCACGAAGAGCGTGGGGTTCTCGCCTCGCAAGTCGAAGAGCCAGCTCTCTAGCATGATGGGACAGGCCATGCTGAGCGGCATGACGAAGACGAAGGTGCGCAGTGCGAACGGGTAAGAGCACCAATCAGTGCGGCTCTTGCAACAGGCCACGGTGCAGGCCACCGCCAGCACGAAGGCCACGGGCAGCACCAGCGCGCGGTAGGCGGCGATGAGGCGCGTGCAGTCCACATGCCAGCCCAGGCGCTGCTGCACGTAAGGGGTCATCACTCTGGCGTCCAACAAGCTCAGGCCCGGCAGCAGGTAGTAGTAGTAGGCCACTGTGCTGCCGAAGCCATAGTAGCTGATGGACGCGTAGTCCAGGTAGAAGAAGGCGGCGCGCAGGCGCAGCGACAGGCAGCTGAACACGTGCGCCGTACAGCTCATAGCGAAGGTCAGCAGCACGCCCGACGCGTAGCACCACAGCGGCAGCAGCCACGGGTGGTGAAAGGGCACATCGCGGCCGCTCAGGAAGAACAGGCGGCAGAACTTGCTCAGAAACAGCAGCAGCGGGATGAAGTGCGTCCAGAAGTTGAGCGTCTCGTTGGTAGGCTTCAGCACCGAGGCTAGGCATTCCTGCGCGGTGCAGGGCAGCCGCCGGTAGCCCGACAGTATAAAGCACTCCACGAAGTCGTCGGGCACCTCGTCCCAGCGCAGCAGCGGCTTGGCGGATGCAGGAGGGTCCCCTGAGGCAGAAGGCTTAGGGCGCGGGGATGTCTCCAAAGCCGCCTGGGTCGTGGCGGGCGGGCCCTTTGTGCCCGCGCCCCGGGGCTGCAGGCGCCGCGGCATGGTGCTCGGGGCTTGGCTAGGACACGAACAGGCGACCTCTGGCGCCGGGCCTCGCGCGCTCTGCAGTCCCCGCCGGCCGCCGTCGGAGCCTTTGTGCACGCGCCTGGGGCGTCGCTGCAGGTTCAAGAGAAGACCTGAGCCTCTGAGCAGCCGTTCCTATAAATAAATTAATTAAATAAAAATAATCAACCGGTAAGCAGCGCAGCGACTGGCAGGAGCGCGCGTGGCTGGGCAGCCCCTTCGCCAGGCTCTCTGCTACCGGCTCGCGACCGCCCGCGCTGCGGTAGCGGCGGCGGCGCGGCGGACTGCAGCGTTGGCGGCGCTGCTGCGGTGACTGGGCATCGCGCGGTGCGGGCGCAGCCGCCGCCGCCCCCGGCGCGGGAGGCGGGGATGTGGGAGCCCAGGCTCTGGAGGGAGGGAGGCACGGGCGCACCGAGGGAGGGCGGGGGCCTCCCCGGCTAGTGTTTCGCGGCCGCCTCGGGGGATAGAGTTGTCCCCAGTCTCGAGTTCCGTACCATCCCCCCTCCTCGGGCCGCAGCAGCCCGAGCTGGCCCGTTAATGATTGATGCGGGGGCAAAGGCTGCGCCAGCGACTCAGCTACGTGTGTTGAGGGCGAGGGTTGGTGCTAGGGTTCGAAACCCGACAGCCACGCGGGCGTTCGAAAGGACACTAGGAAGCCGCGTTCGCGGGGGACGGAGAGCTGTGGCGGGGGAGGGGAGGAGGAGAAGGAAGGGCGCGGCGCCTCTGCGGGTCAGGGCGGAGAGATGCGCCTACAGTAATCTCCGGAGGTGGGGGGTGCAGGGACGCTCCGGAAATTTGCGGGGACTGGGGTTGCGATTTGAGACCTTGTCCGGATCAGGGCCGTGTCTCAGTCAGAATCCTGGACTGCCCCTCTTTTTTGTGTGTGCGTGCACGAGCGCGCGCGGCTCTCGCTCTGTGCACCACATCAAGCCTTACCTCCTTTCGTTTAGCGGACTTATTCAGGTGCGTCACTAACCTCCCTTCTCCCTCGTCCTTGTCCTGACCAAAAGAACCATCCCATAACTTGCCTCTGGTCGCTCTCATCCGCCCTTGGGGGCCGCAGCTCCGCCATCCTGGTGTTCTTGTGTCTTTAACTAGGAATCTTGTTTGGAGCCCAAAGTCCGCGGACAACTCAGGACCGGCTGCTCAAGACGAGGCGATTCAGAAAGACTCTAACGATCTGCGGAATTCATTAAGAAGGGGTTCGGGATTTATTAAGAAGGGGTTCCCACGCAGAACTGTGCCCCAGTCGAGGGCCGATCATAGTGGAAGGCATTGATGAGGGAGGACTTCAGGGAGCAGGTGCATTCTAGCACGAACTGGAAAGAGAACGGAGACAAATTCATAGAGACTGGGAGGGGTGGCTTGGAAAAAGCTCACGCATAATTAACCAGACTATCTAGCAGGCTTGGGTGGCTATAGGCCAGAAGAAAGGAAGACTGAAGAGTCGTCGAAAAACGGTTGAAAAAGATGCCCTTGAACCTTTTAAAAGAGACTAAAAAACCTGTCTGCTCTAAAGTGTTTATCATTTCACAGAAGTTTCTCTTAGTGATGCCTTGGGTCCAGTTTGCATCATGGATCAACATTATTTACGGTATAGTGTCATGGCAACAGGAATTAAGTAGAAGGGACCAGGCACTGGTCTAAATGCTTCACAGTTTTTAAAACTTTTAGATACTAGTATTTTTCCCATTTTACAGACAAGGAAACGGAGGCACCACAACCATAAATAACATGCCCAATTGTTAGAAGGGGTGATATGAACCTAGGCAAGCTGCTGCTACAATAGATCTCATGTACTTAAACCAGAACATCCAACCATCGGCTTTGTTCAAAGAAAACTAGTAAGAAAGGACAGTTTGATTTAGGAAAAGACTTTCATTTTCATTTTACAAATAAAGGAAAAGCTACCTTCATCACTCCAGCAAATCTTACAAGTAGGTCAAGGAAGATTTACTTTGTAGTGTCTCAAGGAGACTTAAGTTGTGGGTAAGAATTATTTATAACTAAGAAATTCAGTATAGTAAATGTCTCAAGTTACTAAAAGGTAGTAGAAACAGTCTCTTTAGAAGTTTCAGCCTTCACTCTCAAAAAATATTGTCCATTAGTAACTGGCTTAGCAAACTCTTACACAATTAGGCCAAAGGTACTCTTGTATCTTATGCCTTTCTGAGCTATCACAAATTCCTGATTAATGGATTTTAAGTTAATGACATTTTGCTGTAGTTATTTAACTACTATTTTGTTTTAGTATTTTCTGTTTTTCCACTGTCTGTAACCTTGTTGTTTTAAAGTAAAATCTAATTTCCTTTCACATCTGGACTAAAGACTGGGCTAATTTGTAAAATGGATTAAGATTCGGGCATTTATAAATGAGGCCTAGGAATGATAAACCTGAATCTAGGGTGGACCGGAAGAAATTTCATATTCTCTCCTATTCCACAACCGGCCTGAGCTGTGACCTGTAAAAAATGTTGATTCTGTAATAATTCCCATATTTACCAACCTCTTCGTTGCAGAATCAGCTCACTTACATAATTGGGGGAAATAGAATAGAAAGTTCACATCAAGTAAAATAATGGAATTGACTGTAAATGAATGTGCGAAAACTCTAGTTATGTAAATGGCTTTATGACTACTAGTGGGGAGACTGGCTGTAATAAAATGTGGTGTTCTTTAAAACAGTATTTTATAAAGTCAAAAAATCTGTTGTAACTTTATAAGTCTTTCAGAAAGTCTTTGTGATCTCTGCTTTTCTCTTTTCTCATACATCTCCCACACTACATGTGGCATAAAATCAGCTGATGCCCCGAAGTAGTGTTCATGAAACCTCTTTGGTGCCAACCCAGACAGCTGTCCTTGCTATACTTTGACAATCCAAGTAAAAAAGAACTAAGGAAACAGAAAGACTGACCTAACATTAAAAAAACAAAAACAAACCAAAACAAAAAAAACAGCAATATGACTTTTTCTTAATTACTACCAATCTATAGAATTAATTTTTCTTAAGTTTTTTGAGATATAAAAATGTGTTTCCCAAACCCTACACAGGCAGGTTTTGTAGATTAACTCCAGTAAACTAACTGCCTCTTGTCAGTGAGCGCCACACTCACACCCCCTGGGCGTGGCTAAACAGATAGAAGCCCCAGGCTGGCAGCCATTTGGTGAAGGTGCACTGGGAGATAAAGCATCCCTAAGGTAACCAGGACAGACTACCAAGCCCTTGGCAGAGAAGAATGCCACATATTACAAGTGTTCAGAGGCAGAAACCAGCTAGTTCTCCCAATTGAAAGTTTGTCAAACCAAGACCCAAATGTGGCCTTGGGTAGTTCTGTGGCAGCCCTCTCCATTTGGGAACTGAGGGGTTCTGGCTAACAAGTACAGTCGTCTGTAGGAACCGCAGCAAACAGGATAAATGCTTTTGCCCATGTAGTTTGCTTTGGCAGTGTTCTTATAGACCAACTATAGGTTTATTTGTGTTTTTCTCTATATATAATATGAATATATTATATTATATTATATATATTATATTATATATATTATATTATATAGAGAAATATAACATTTCTCTATAATAAAATGAAGCATGTATAAAAATTCCACAGCAAATTTGATATTCTTTAAAAGGGACAATGAGCTATTTGTAAAACCTGCACACACAAAAAAACCACACTATGATAAAACACCTGTTTTCAGAGGAAATAATTTTTTTCCTAGTTTCATTTTTAGCCCAAACCAACCAACCAACCAACCAACTAAACAAAACCCACTATGGACCCAGTGCTTTAATGCACCTGAAACTCTGTACAAAGAGAGCTCTATAAGGTTTAGTCCCTCTCCTTCGAACATACAGTCTAAACAAAGTGCTTTCCTTCCTCCCAAATTATAAACAGCCATAACATTATCATCCAAACTCTTCCAGGTCAGATATGGTCACTACCAGATCATAGGGGCTGAGCTTCCTAATGGTAGAAAACCTTCTGGCTGTGGCATCAGGTGTAACTATGGCGACCTTCGGGGAAAAGTGCAATCCAAAGGCTAGGTGGAGGGCTGGAAGCAGGAGACAGTGGTGGGAGATGGAGTTCGTACCTGGCACTGTTCCTGCCAGTTTACTGAAGTGGTGAAAGGTTCTCTTTTGAAGAAGAGCTAAGGGAGACATTAAGGATGTTTTTGCCTTGTGAGGTTCTATGCAGGGAGTGGCAACTCCATACTCCCCCTCTCCCATCTGTCACCTGTTCTCTCCAAAGTAGGGTGCAGAAGACTGATTAAGGTGAAGAATACAACGTTACAACTTCTGTTTCAGTAGATCTCATAATTTTTTATAATACACTTAATATGTAGTACATGGGGATAACTTATAAATAGTATATTAGGGCATAGGGGATTGTCAAAATGCTGGCAGCTCGCGGACAAAAGGTGTGTGGTCAAAACTTTGTGGACTTTTGCCCTGCTGTCCATTGGTCTTGTTTGTCCAGCCTGCTTCCATCCTCTCTTCAGGATCCAGGATGAATTCCACTTTCCTGCCTCTCAGGTCACTGGAAAGGGTGTTTTGGGGTCACCATCTGTCAGCCAACAGTCCCTATGCCCTAAGCAGACCTACCCAAGCCTTCAGCACCTCCCACAGCTTCCCTGAGCCAGGATGGCAGTCTCCGTTCTGGAGTGATTTCCCCCAAGTCTGCCCTTCCTGTTTCCTAGCTAGAGCCTATGTTACCTTCTTACAAAGTCCTCATATTTACATGGTATAGTCATCCTAAGTCAGATACCCTTTGGGGGAGGAGACTGTCACTGACTGTTGCTTGCTTTTTGGGGGGCCTTTTAGGTAGTTTCCATTTATTTAACTTTAGAAACAGTTATACAAGTGTGTGTAAGTTAGATTATTGAGTTCTTGCTCACTAATTATGAACAGTTTTTCTTGAAACACAGTGCTTTGCCCATAGTAAGCATGCAATACATATTTGTGATTGGAGAAATTCTCTTCAGTACTTAAAAGGTTAGAACGTGGAATCCTAGCATCTTAGAATAGAGCTATCACTTAATCCTTTAAGTCTTCTTGTCCTGCTCACTTCCCACTTATGAGAATTATTTCAATTTAGCAATCAATACTGTACTCAGGTACTGGGATAGGCACTTTCCATATATTAGCTCTAGTTCTCAGAATACCCTTTGCAAGATAAGTCCACTCTTCCCATTTTTCAGATAAGAAAACAGAGGCTCAGCCATGAATAGCTCCAGGAAAGGGACTTATTACTTCACATTGCCTCCCCTTCCATTTTAAGCTTTTTAAATCATTGTTCAAAGACTTTGTAAATAGTTAAATGAGCACAACTGATGAGAAAAAAACCCACTGTTTTATGTAGGCCCAGAGCTCAACCATAAGTGTTACTGAATGTGGTCACCAATTGCATCTGGTTAGAATGTCCCTGAAAAGCATGATGCCAGATAAAGCATGTACTCCTGCAGTATATGACAGCTGAGTACTGATTAGACATGGCTGGAAGGTACATATCATATAAAGAGCATTTTCCTGTAAACAAATTACATCTGTTGTTCCCAGGTGGCTTGCCATACCCAAGGTCTCTGCAAAGAGGCAAATAGGAGGTTCCAAGATTTCACAGATGATTCTTGCATTTAGCACAGCTTTATTGATTACAGTGATTGCTTAAAACAGAAAGGAAAATATCCTGCTGTGATATCATTGCATATTAATATCAAGAGGAAGGCATCTCAGCTACTGAACTCTGTTTGGACTTCAATTAAGCTCACTTCCATTGGTTCTATTTAGGTTTTTTTTTTTCTCAAAAATTTTTACTGAGGTACACGTATTATTGATTATTGTCACCATACTGTACGTTACATCCCCAGAGCTTATTTATTTTTGGAAGTTTATACTTTTTCATCCCCTTTACCCATTTCGCTCACCCCCACCTCTGGCAACAACCAATCTGTTCTCTGTATCTATGAGCTTGGTTTTGTTTTGTTTTAAAGTCCACATATAAGTGAGGTATATATGGTATTTGTCTTTCTCTGTCTGACTTATTTCACTCAGCATAACCCTCTAGGTACATCCATGCTTTCACAAATGGGAAAATGTTATCCTTTTATGGCTGAATAACATTCCATTGTATATATGTACCACCTCTTTATCCATTCATCCATTGATGGACACTTAAGTTGCTTCCGTATCTTGGCCATTATAAATAATGCTGCAATGATCCTGGGGAGGCATATATCTTTTCAAATTAGTGTTTTTATTTTCTTCAAATAAACTAGGAAGTGGAATTGCTAGATCATATGGTAATTCTATTTTTAATATTTTGAG